TTGGTTAAGTCTGTGTGGTGTCTGAATAACAGGGCAAATAATTTTTTTTTCGTAAAAAAATTCATTTTTTTGAAAATTTTGGCCCGTTTGACCTTGAAATAAAGGTCAAAGGTCAAATCCAAGGGCATATTTGAAATCTACACATATAACTTTTGGAAAGCCGTCTGTAGAAATTTTTCCCATAATTCCTTCCTTAGGGTAGATAATTAGCATTTAATTTTGCCATTTTTAGACAAGGGTGCATTGCAATGAGTGCCACACCTAGACCCCAAAACCGACAAAGCCCAAATTTTACGTGGAACGAGTTGAGATTATAGGTGACCTAAATCCAAGAGATGGGTACGGGGGCCCTTACTGTCTAGGAGGAGAAGCGGTAACGGTAGCCGTCCAGCGGAGCCGGCGGAACGATCCGGACGGAACTAAAACCATGTGTACCGCCAGCGCTAACGTTGGTGGTACAATAAATAAATTAAATCAAATTTTTAAAAAAGTTATAGTACCTGCAAATTAACTGCAGTGGAAATATTTTTATGCCCATCACGAAGCATATTTTGAACAGGAGGTAAAGCAAATCTGCCGACCATACATGGTGGTGTCTCATCACTCCCCCCTTCTGCTGAAATAAGCTGGGGCACCTGCAGTTGGCGGGAACTACTCATTGTGTCCAGGTCCAATTTTTGACACTAAAACACAATTTCTCATGGCATAAAGTATCTGATGCCAGGGTTGAGTTTAAAAAATGAGTGAATCACAGAAGAATGATGCAAAACTGATTCAAGTTGAAATAAAAATTGATAGGGATATATTTTTTTGGCTCTCTATCAAATGATAAGAAAGTTGCACAAAAGGGTTAAATTTCTTTTCAACAAACATTTTTGCTACCATATTACTTACAAATTGGTAATTTTTTTTAGGTAATAGTCAATATGATTAACTTTTGATTAAATGATAAAGTAAATAATTGTTCTAACCATATCATTTCTATGCTGAACATTTCTTAAAATTTTCATGAGTATGGCTTTAATTAGCATTCTACTCTAGCCTTTTAATGAAACTGGGGCATCATTACTGAAAGATACATATTCTGTAACCCTTTGAACCAAGGCGAGGGCAAAAACTGACAGCCTTACCACAATAGTGAAGACATACTACATGTTAACTCTTCAAGCATGTGGGTTCAATTTTGTTCTTGGCAAAGCTCACCCACCTTGACACTCAAAGTCTTGGTGGCTATAACAATGGGTTCCTCCCCTGGCACCTTCTTTGCCAGCACAGTGTCTGAGATAGTGCTGATGACATTCAGTGCTTTATTTGCTATGTATCTGGTCTGCAAGATGAAAATATACATTTAACATCTTGTTTGGAGAGGTTTATAATTAGGGATTGGACTATTTGGTGTAGGAACTTTTTCTTCCTTGCTTTTGACTTATGGGATGGTTTGTTGTTGGTTGTTTGCATGTTTGGTAGAGGCAATTGTTTTGTTTATTCTGAGCAAAGAATGTGCCAATTTTTCTTCTTTCTCTTCCTTTTTTGTGTTTGGTACAATAAATGTGATTTATTTGGTTGACGTTGTCGGTTGTTTGGTTGATCTGGATGGTTGTGTAGTTGATGTTGCTGGTTGTTTGGTTGATGTTGCTGGTTGTTTAGTTGATGTTGCTGGTTGTTTGTTTGATCTAGCTGGTTGTTTAGTTGATGTTTGGATGATTTGGCTGGTTGTTTGGTTGCAGCTTTTTTGCCTATTAAATTGCAGGCCCATAGCCAGGGAGGTAAGGGGAGTTCAAACATTTGCCCTTTTTGTCGGAGAAAAGGTCTGTGAAGGTAAGAATTATTAACCTACATGTATAGGTACTCTAAGTTTTGTGGTAAAAGATCCACTTTTTCAGAAAAAGACCCACCCCCCTCTTTAAAATTCCTGGCTATACAAGCTTGTATTGTCTGGAAGAGAAATCAATCAGACAGCTGACTAAGACTAGGTTCCCATACCAAGATTGATCTAACAGGACCTATCCATCTCCAAGGGGTTTCATGCTAAACTGCTTTCAGCTTAAGTGGCTTAGATGTCTGGCATGCCTACTGAAGTTGCTTAACATCTACTAGCAGCTTCAGTAGGCATGACAGACATCTAAGCTGCTTAAATTGATTGCAATTTAGCAAGAATCCTCTTGGAGAAAGACTGAACACAGTTAGTACAATAGGGTCTGGGAATGGTCCCTAAGGCTCTGACTGGCTTCTGATCTTTCTTCTCACCTTCTGCACTTTGACCCTCTCAGGTTGTGTCATGTTGGTGATATTCACTTCTCTGGACTCCTCCATGGAGGCATTTAACAGGTTAGAGGTGGATTGTAGAATCATACTAAATAATAAGAAACAATATTTTAAGTTTAACGATGAACATAACTACATTTATTTTTAATTTTGTTAAATATGATCAATAAGGAGATTTCAAAATATTGTTTGTTTTTTGCCTCAGCCAGTGGAACGCAGAGAAGTCCTCTTGTTTGCCTTATACTTGTAGTTCCTAGTTCGAAGTTTCTATTTTTTTTTTTTTTTTACTTTAAACATTTAAAGCACGGAAAAGAGCAGATAAATTAATATTGTTATAAATAATGAGATATCAAAATAGAAAATGCACTTAGAATGAGATGGATCTGATGCCATGAAAACAAATCAAAGCTTATAAAGATATTAGTCCAATGTTAGTTCTCAGGGCTCCATTTCACAAAAAAACCTAAGTCGGGTTCCCTGACTAAAAGCTTGATTATCAATGTGATTAAGTCCTTACTTCATTTAGTCATGTTTCATGAAGAATCTAAAAGGTCGCTTACATCGTTTTTTTCTTAGCTGCTAGTCGACAAATCCTAGCTTCCTTGGGAGGTGTCTAAGTCAGGAAGCTCAACTAAAACTTGGTAAATGAGAGCATAATCAACAAAAATTTGGAAAGAACATACCTCCATCAACATATTGTGTTATAATATCCTTGAACAGTACTGAAATTAATTGAATATTTAAATAAAAAAAATTAAAATGCAACTTCATCCAGCCAAGCACGGGTTTGTTTATACAGACTTGACATTTAATATGGAATATTTCAGTTTGAAAGGTATGCCTAGGTAAAAATGCGTTCTTTTTTTCATAAAACTCAGATCTCATATAAGATATCTGACTGGAGAAGTGTGAAGTCAGGTGTGTCGCTACCAATCAACTGACTACCAAGTCTGTTGCACTGCTGCATTGTGTAATATGCGGTGATTTAATTGGGTAGTGCTCCTTTAGGCTGNGACCACTAGATGTCCTACAGCAGCATTCCAAGACAAGCTAATGTTTTCATGTTACTTTGAAGTTGTTTTGAAGTTAAACTAATCAATAAAGCTCAAAAACAAACTTTGTTTTATGTTTTGACTGATTTTTATTGTTGATAAATGACCGTTCTCGGCCAAAACTTTACGGATTTTTCCATCTATTTTTCTTGAAGAGTTTCTTGCGTACATTGACTATGGTAAGAGCACCGAGCTAAGACTTTAGATTCTTTGTGAAACACCTCTAGTTGACTGCAGCGTAATCGACCTTGTAATGTCACTCAGCTCAAGCTAGTCAACTACAGATTTAAGATTCTTTGTGACCAGGAAGACTGGTGTCTCTTCAAGTCTTAGCATGCTACTTACGTGGCAGTGTCCTCTACTTCAGTAAAAGTTGCATTCCTCTGTCTACTGCTCAACACTAGGGATAACCTTTCAACTGTGTCCATGCCTGAAGTCTGAAAATTCATCTAATCAATATGGAGGTATGGTAATCTTCGATCTTTTCAATAGGAAAAATGATGTCTGTGCAGTGTACACGATACCCATAAATTCCATTTTGTGCGGAATAACAATAGTGAAGATTTGTACAACTTAGTGTAATTCACATGTATGATTTTTATGTTGAGTTTCCGTAAGTTGACGACGTGGGTGCAAAAAATCGTAGGGGGGCTTCCCAAACACGTATGGAAAGTTGAAAAATGAAAAGTTTGCAGCAATATTGCAGCAAAATTGCTGCAAATTTAAAGTTTGCAGCAACTAGTGAGCAGGAGTTTGGAAGAAAAATATGTATTGCTGCCAATTTGCAAATAAACTTACGTTTGCAGAAGGTTTGCAAGAAAAGATTTTATGTTTTGGCAAATTTGCAACAAATTAGCAGCAAATTTCATTATGACAAGTACATAACACATTCCAGAAAACACTATGAAATGAATCCACTTGCAGTGTCTGCAGATAAAACAAAAAAATCCCTTAGCAAAATGAAACGTTTGTGGCAACTAGTTTGCATGAGTTTGCAAGGAAATTTTTTTTTTTTTGCTGCTGATTTGCAACAAATTTGCAATAACAACTAAAGTTTACAGCAGGTTTGTAAGAAAGTTTATGTTCTGGCAAAATTGCTGCAAATTCACAGCAAATTAGCAGCAAGCTTGCAGCAAATTAGCTGCAAATTCACAGTAAATTAGCAGCATATTTGCGATGAATTTGAGAGAGAGTTTGCAGAAGGCCTTATATTTTGCTAAGGGAATTCATTTACCAGAACCAGCATGTACAATTTTTAACCTGATATAACATGTTTTGAGGATTAAACAAATACTGAAGCCTGAAGAATATAAATACTAGATTAAAGGCAACTATCTACAAAGCCAAAGACACCAAGTGCTCAGTACCTGTGAGTCTGCAGTAATCTCTGTGGTGTGTTCTGTGAGTTTGGTCAATGTCTCTGCTGCTTGCTGGGCAGTAGATAGGCTGTCAATAGTTAAATTACCTACTGCCTCCATCATATCACTGCGTATCTGTGGAAGAAAAGACTTTTTGGTGCTACACAGTAATTACTTGATCTTTTAAATATGGGACAATAATGTGAATTTTACATGGTAGCCGGTTTGCGTGTAGTTCTATTCTGTGAATTAAAACATCACAAAACTATGCAGAAATATAATTTTTGTGATAATTAAATGATTTGCCTGAAAGTTTGTTAGTTTATGCCCATAGAAAAGATTGACTAATTACAATACCTTTCCTTTGTATCTGTCTATCAAAATGTTATTTATTTCATTAATATATTTTCATTTATTTATCTATATATATTTCCGACATTTTTTTTTTTTTTTTTTTTTTTGTCTTTTTCATTGTCATATATCTATTTATTTACCTGTTCCCTTGCTTCTGTATCAGGTAATTTTTCTGTCCCAGAATTCAGCAAGGAACTGACAGCATCAACCAGCTGTAGAACAGCTATAAGCCAATATCACAGAGGATGTGAATAACATACACAGAACTTAACACAGAGAAGGATGTGAATAACATATAGAACTTAATTTAATTAACATAACTGACAGATTCAAACAGCTGTAGAACAGCTAAAAGTCTATACCACAGGGAAGGATGTGACAAAATATTAACATATAAAACCTAGCTAGCAAACATTCTGTTATTCAAATAAATACACTTTAAAAACAATAATGATTAAGTAAAAAAATCCCAACCCAAGGGTTGACAGTTTACAATTATATAGACATAAAGAGAACCTGTGTAGTCGCCTTCTCTCACAGCAGTCCACAAGATGCCATTCAAATCCCCTGTTATCTCCTCCAGAAAGGTACCAACGTCTCTGTCTGCTAAATCAGGATGGTCACCTAATGGACGGACCTTAAACAGAAAGTACACCAAATCTAATCTAAACTATGATCTTATATAGCGCATTCAGAACGTTAT